CCAAACACCGAGTGAAGCAGGTACGTGAAAGGGCCAGTTTGCACCAGAAATAAAATAATTATACAAAACAGGGGTTATATCCACAGTCGTTAATTCTCATTTTCTACACAACACAACAATAAATTAAATCACATTATATGCAGATAGTCTTACTTACAATTAGAATCAGAAACCGTATGTAGTGTGTGCCGCTGTGGCTCTGACTGGCTACCGGACTCGTGGGAAGGGCCATATTGTTTGGTGGTCCTGTGTTTACATTAACAGAGAACAACGTGGCCCGGAAGACAAGGGACCCTCCCCCGTGTCTGGACCGTGCCCGCTCTGTGTCACTACCCACCAGGCCAGGGGGACAGAGCTCCGATTCCCAGGCCCCAGCACAACGGTCTGCACACTCGCCGCCTCTCCCGGCCACCTCGGGCACCTCGTGGCCACCTGGCCAGGAAGGCCCGCCACTTTGGACACGCTCAGCTTGGGAACTCAATGGTGCAGAGGACACCCTGCTTCCAAACCCAGCGTTCCCTGCCTCTGCCCCCTCGCCCTGCGCCATGACAGCGGCTCCTCGTCCCCGTGAGGAGCCGGCTGTGGGCTCCGCAGCGGCCTCCCCTGGGTGACTGACCCTGGGTTCCTTGCTGCGGGAAAATCTGGGTCTTAACTCCCGAGTCAGAGCAATGCAGCACTTTTTGCTAAATCTTAATTCCAAGTGTTCGAGTCTCTCCCTCCGGAGGCCCCCTGCGGCCGGCCCGCTGGACGGCGAGGACGGCGTGTGGGTTTTCACTCCGGAGCCCGCTCGCACGGAGCCTGCCCTGCGTCTGAAGCAGCTAAGACAGGAACGCGGACAGCGCCAGCCGCGCGGCACTGCTCTGGGCAGGAATGGGCGTTAGTGGTTAAAGAGAGATCTGGGCCCACTCCCGGCACCTCGGAAAGCTGCTTTAATCCGGAGTCCCGCTGCAGGGCGCGCCTGGGGAGGAGTGTGGGAGACCGGCCCCTGGAAACCAGCCTGGCTTGTTGGCCTCTAAGCTCTCCCCAGGTGCGTGGGGGCAAGTTAACAGGGCTCTGGCTGCCAGCCAGCGGGGGGACTCCTGCGTGCTCAGAGCCAGCCTGGGCACCGGCTCCTGGAGAAGGTGTGGGTCCCTCTGCAAGCCGCTGCCTGCCCGGGCAGAGCGGCCGCCCCTCCGCAGCGGGACGGGGTGAGGGGGTGAGGGAGGAAGGAGCGGGAAGACAGGCAGTTTGTGATTGTACCTTCTGCTCCTTTCAGAGAATCCCACTCCCCGGTCTTGTGCTGGGTGTGGCCTGCGCTCCTGGCTGAGCCTGGCCCTCGAAGAGGACGGAGTCACCGGCTAGTCCGCTCTTCCAGAGACACCCCAATAAGACACACACCTCCTCCTTCCATCTGCGGCCACCCTGTCCCTCAGACACACGCCCTGGGCTCAGAGAACCTCGCTTTCCCTGAAAAAGGCCGGTCCACCATCAGCTTCCTCAGGAGGCCCTGGGCCCAGCACATCACCCACCCAGCCCCTGGCACGCAGACTGGCATTTGGCTTCCTGCACGCATCCAGGCAGCAGCGAAGTCCTTTGTGTCCCAGGAAACAGGTATGCGGGCCTTTCCTTTCAGAAACACTCCCTTCATGCACGGCCTCGTACCCTATGTGATTTCTTACGGAGACTTCCACCAACAGCCGCCGTGTCCTCCCGAGAAGGGGGCGCCACGGGAACCCCCCTCCTGAATTCCTGTCCCTGCGTGAGACCCACACAACGGCCTCCGTCTCACTGCCAACGGCCTGTCTCACCCTCCGGAACCCAGCGCCAGACAGAAGGAAAGTGGGAAATTGGGGGCAAAGAGGGCACGGGGGCCTGGAAGAAGGTCATGACCCCGGCAGCCTGGGAATAAGGGAGCAGTGTCTGGACATGGAGTCTCAGAATTTCAGGAATTCATCTCCATACGCTTCTCCCCTCCCTCCGTGCGATGCTGCTCCTGACACGCAGAGCTGCTTTCAAAGCCAGCGGGGCCGTGTCTGCGGTTCAGGAAGGGACACGCTGACGGTGTTTCCAAGAAACACGATGTTTACAGGGGATTCCTCACGGAACCTGCGGTCAGGGTGGGGGAGGGCGCGCCCTCCGTACGGAGAGTGTTTCTGGATGGAAGCGGTCCTCTGAGTCCAGGCAAACCATCTGAGAAGGTGACAATGATGAGCCGTAAAAGCTACACTGGCTCCCAACACCGTGAGCGCACGCGGAAAGGCCATACCTTGACCGGCATCCATGCAGGCCGACGCTGAGCCAGCGGACACTGCCCTCTTTCTAAACTGAACACCCTGGGCTTCGGGGAAAACTGTGCTCGTATAGAATGGTTTAAGAACCAAAGCCCTGTTTGCCTGACTGCGTGATATGTGGCTCCTGGCAGAGGATAAACGACTAGTTGTCAAAGATGTTGCTTAGCAGTTAGGAACTTAACTCCCAAACTACAATCTCCACAGCTCTGGGCCCAGGGTCACCGTGGGCCAAACACCTACACTTTTTGCAAAGGTTTCCAACTGAATGGAGTTTTCCAAAACCTAAGAGAGTTCAAGGCAGAATGGGTGGACGGCAGACATCAGCAGTCCCTCTTAAGAGCCCTGGGTCTGCTTTAAGATGGAAGAGAATGGCATCCGCAGATGAGAAACCTCATGATTTCCTCTGCCACTTTTAAAAGACTGCAATTCTCACTCATTTTTACAATCTTACCTGGGGACATAATAACATTAACTTCAGAACTAATCCTCTACCTAAAGTAGAAATAAAAGGTAGTTGCTTTAGCAGTGTGAGTTAATGGGACCCTCTGTCGATTATGGAAAGGTTAGAAACGTTTAAACCCAAAGACTGCAACCAGGTAGAGTGTTCCCCCGCCCCTCCCGCAAATAAGCACATGGGCTCAGAATCCAATGTCTCTTTACAAACACACGATAAAAGAAGATGAGCATCTCTAAAGACATGACGAACACCACTGAAAAATAAGAACTAGAGAGAAAGAAGTTCTCCGTTCATAAAAACAAAATGGAATCAAGCCTTTGCTGTGCAGAGGCCTGAGCTGTTCCTCACTTCGCTTCTCTGGTTTTCACTTCCCCGGCTCTCTTCCTGCGCTGGGATTTCTGGAGCTTGCCTCACTTGCTTTCTTTTTCCATCCTTTTTTTAACTTAGTGCTTTTTCCTTTGCGTCCAACATGGAGAACGACCACGCCGTTGCTCCAGTTGATCATCCTTATTTCTCTGATCACGTTCTCCAGCTGCCTGCATGGCATTTGTAAGCCATAAAGGGGACATGTGCCTCCCCCAGGAAGAATCCATGCCCTTTGACCTTCGGGAGTAGGAGTGACAGGGTCCAGCTCCTCCAGAAAGCCAGGTAGGACCAACTGCCAAGTCACATGCTTCCACGCATCTGCCTCCGCCCTCACCTGTACAAGCTACGACCTCCACCACTTCCGAGGAACTGCTCAGACTCCACTATCGGCCTCCCTACACATGGTCTTTCACAGACATTAAGATGATGTCTAAAACTATTTTCCGGATGCTCCAAATGTTATCAAGGACCGAGTGACCTGATTACAAGGCGGTATGCTAGCTAACCCAGCAATGTCCCATTCTGTCTTCACGGTCCATTGTCCCCACAAATCATAAAATGATGGCCTGAATTTAAACCTGGGTGTAATGGAGCAATTCAGTAAATACTTATTCAACTTTGTCCAAATTCCTTATATCAACACCCACAACCACTGTTATCAGGCTACTGGTGGATGACTACAAAACCCTGTGGGATTAACTGAGAAGGAATAGAATCACTAGTTAGATTCCCTCTTTTAACCCCAATCATCACTAAATTTTGATAAGATGCCATGTATTTATCATTTCTGTGTTTACTGTCAAGTTCTAACTCTCTTATCAAGTTCTTCTTGAGGAAAAAGAACTGCATCCCCTTATGAAATCCTATTAAATTCTAGTACATTTCCCCCTTGATCCTGAAACTCATCATCTGGCCGACATTGGAAGGGATCTATATCCCTAAAATAACTTGCATTTAAAACAAGCAAATGAATGTGCTCCTGCAGAGTGCAATCAGAAGACAGGGCTCTGAAATTAAAGCAGCAGTTTGCATTTGGGCCTGGCCAGGGGGAAGAGGACAGGAGGGGAGGGGGGGAGGCAGGGGAGAGGTTGCGGGGAGAGAAGCATCTTTCATCACTGTTGTACCCATGCTTTTCAAATATAAGTGAAATTTAATCTTCAAAATGAAAAAATAGACACATTATCTAATAGCAAAATATAAGATCAAAATACTTAAAAATAAGATGTTAGTGCGAAATAGGGCTTTGCTTTTTTTACATTGTTTTAAAAATGAAACATTTCAGATTTGCTTTTCTTGTATAAAGCCTCTTATCTCAGTGATAGTTACAACTGTCCAGAGCAGCTTTTAGGAGACACTGAAGGAGACAGGAGGAAATCCTTTCTCGAGAGAGGAAGTCGGGACCTGAATGTATACATTGGACAGAACCGTCTTCCACTCAACCCGGCCGGCCGGCCAGCGCTAGAGAGAGGTGCGAGCGTTACTTCCCACCTTGAGATTTTTCATTCCATGTTCCTTTTCTTGGGTGTGCCATTCTTCCTAGGAATATTCTACTTGTAAAAATGATTTTATTCTAACCATAAAACGTTTCACTTGAGAAAACCCCATTTTTATAGCCTTTGTGTGAAAAGCCATCAAGATAGGGAGACACCAGCTTCTCAAACCATAAAGCCAGTCAGGGGCCCGGCTAACAGGTGACATTATATTCTGGCATTTTCTTGTCCTTAGATGAAAGGCCGTGAGGCATCTGATGGCAGATAACAGTTCCTGAGCTTCTAAAGAAATCTTACAACGAAATGGCTAAATGCTGAAAAGAATGAGTTCTTCAAGAGCACCCCTCCGTTCCATTCCGGACTTTCATCCCATCAATCTCCCCCAGGAATCTCGGGCCGAGAGAAAAGGCTTCCCTTTTAAGCCACGGAAAAGTGGGATCTGATGGAATCTTCCCGAAGCTCCCGGTGTTTCCCGACGTTACTTTCTTCCGGCTGGCTTCGTCTCTCAATGGTTATTCTGTATTTCTTCCTGGGGAAAGGGAAAGGGAATGCAGTAATAAAACCTCCTTTGGCCACACAATACTATGGTTCCTCTCACAAAGCATGCCCCCGGGGGACATGTGGGTCGGGGTTGATAAATGAGAAGTGACAGAGTATGAAACCGGGGTCAGAGATTAAAGCAGAGCGCCCCGAGGCGCCCTGCCCTCATTCAGGGAGGAAAGTTGGCCCGCTTCCGAGATGCCACAGAACAAGCCCTCCCCTTCTTCCCTGGGCGCCTGGTGGGCTCGGCTTGTCTGTGGGGCCACAGAAGAGCTCCCGACTCCCAGGACGGCCCCAGATAAAGATCGGGTTACGTGCCCTGAGCCAAGGGAACAGGAATACAATTGTTCCCACAAAGAGCCACACACACCCTGAGCTCCATTTCCAAGCAGAAATGAAGAAATTGTGGTCTCATGGCTTTAAGAATAAGCCACCAACTCAACCACCAAAGATTACAAAGGAACAGGGTGCCCTTATGGTGTGAAACTATTGGTATCTTGGACACAGAGAAATAATACAATTTTACAAGCCGGGGGGCCTAACCACAGTGGTAACCAAGGACGTTGGGTCTCCAAATTCTCAGCGCCCACCAGCCTGAGAGCACGGACCCGCTCGGAGCTGCCACCTCCTCTTCAGAAGGTGAAGCCTGAGAACGAGCCATCTATGTCCCTCTGCCCAGATTCCCTCTCCACGGACACACTGAGTGCGTGGTAGGGATTCGGGTCAGAGTGTCTGTCGGAGGAGGAGGAGAGCAGCAGCTCTGCGGCCCACAGGGCGATGCAGCAGGGCCCCCTGCGCCTCCCCCGGCATGCTAGCCCTCACCCCCGCCAAACCGCCTCACCCCCACCCCGAGGTGTCCTTCCCACCACCATGCTTTGGGGCTCGTCACAGAAAGGTCATGCAAAGGCAAGTGACAAAGGCAATAATAGAGTGAGTTTTTAAACCTTATTGCAAGGTCCTGACCTGAAAAAGTAGAAAGCCATTAGCAAACCAGCTCCTAGTAAGGCCCCCAGCACAATTCCTGTGACTGCTGACTCTTCCAGGCCACCTGCTTGAGAGAAAAATAGAGTGTCAGAGTTCAGGGAGAAAAGTCTCATCCTAACCTTTCTTTTTCTGAATGAGAAGGGCACATGTTTATTTTCCCCATCACATACAGAATATTGGCAAATATTCATCACATACTAGACCATAAAGGATATCTCAGTACATTTCCATGAAGAGATGTCATTCAAACCCTGAATTCGTCCATCCTTTCATTCATGGAAAAGCTTGGTTCTCTGGACGGTGTTTCTTGATTTCCCGCTTGAGAACATGTTCCTTTCTTTTTAAGAAAGATTCCTAGGGGATCCTGCACGTTTCCTAAGAAGCACTGGAGAGCACACTAGCTGCTACAGGCCAGTGGGAAGAACGCTGGCTTAGGCTTCAGATCCAGCCACACTGTGTGAGTTCACAGTCAGAGAGGCAACTGTAGAGACCATGGAGCTGACCCATGCGCCTTACTTCCCGGGTGGGTGGAGACACGCCAAAGCCTGGAAGCTTTGGTGAAAAATTCATTGGGCTAATTATTGCTTGTCTCATTTTCGATTCTTCTAAGTGTATTTCTAATATCACATGATCTCACTCATCTAGGGGAAATGATGAACAACATAGCATGATGAACAAGAACAGATCGGGAGACAAGGAAGCATAGATCAGACTGTCAAACCTCAGAGGGAAGGTAGGGGAGGGTGGGGATAAGGCAGAGAAATCACCCAAAGGACTTCTGTGCATGCATATGAGCCTAACCAGTGGTCACGGACAACAGGGGGTGTGGGGGCATACATGGGGAGGGGATTGGGATGGGAATGGTAGGAAGAGGACAAATATGTGATACCTTAATCAATAAAGAATTTTTTTAAATGATAAAATAAAAACTTAATTTAAAAAATAAAACTCTAAAAAAAAGAAAAATCACTGGGCTAACGTTCTGTTTTCAGAGGTTCCCTCACCGAAGCCAGAGTTTCCTGTCCAAATGCCCTACCTGGCTCCGTGAAAACATGAGCACAGCAGAACAATCGAGTTCAGGGGTGTCCCAGCTATTATACAAGAATGACAAAGAGCTAGCTTGTCTACAGAGTTCAGGGCACAGCCTTCAGTCCATCATCTTGTTTAATTCAGCCCTAAGAGTGGGGTAGATCCCCTTCGTTTTCCACTTGGGAAAACTGAGGCTTGAAGAAACTCAGGGACACCCTTTTAGGCCACGAAACCAGTAAGTGACAAGGGTGAGACTCCAGATCCAGGCCCCGTAACTCAGAGACCGAGTTCCTACTCACTCCTGCCTCCCTCCCCGGAATCACCGCCTCCGCATGAACACCCACAGACGGAAGGCTGCTCCCCAAACAGTGTGCATGCCTCTGTTAGCACCAGGGACCGAGTGGCCTACTGGACCGCTGCTAACTCAGTTTTCCCTCCCTGGCTTATAAAAGAAAGGGGAGAGGTCTTTTAAAGCAGAGATTTCCAACGCGGTCCTCTCTGTGAGCGCCTTATGAGAAGCTCCTCTGGCTTGTGTGTTTATGACAGGCCATTCATCAATAACAGCTTCGACACGCAGTCCCCAGTTTGTAATCCGCGGGTGTGGAAGGGACCTCATCTGTTTGGCTCTGAAGGGTCGGAGGAAACGGCCAACTTTGAAAGTCAGCATGAGACTTGCTACGCGGGATGAGGAAGTGGACGGCGTCTATTATTTGGTGTTTTGATTTTCTCTAAAATGGGAACTCTCGTACCCAATGCCATTTCCTTCTTCATCTCTCACAGCAAGTCTCCTTCTGAATTTCAGAGTAAGATTTATAGTGAGAGTCGGACAAGCAGGGAGAAGGCTTCTGCCAGTTTAGAAACGGATGGAAGAGAAGAAAGACCTAGAAGCTTCTGGGGAAGGTGGGGCGCCGGTTTGTGAGCTGTTCCTGTGGGTCTGACCGCCTCCGAAGAGAACTCTGAGCTCTCAGAACCCGGGCTCTGGATCACACATCTAACCCCGCATCGCATCACGCCGACCGACCGGCGCCGAGGAGCGGGGTTCCGCCCCTGAACTTACAGGACTTGCAGGGGGCGCCGCTGCTGTGCTCCGCCAGCCGGGTCTCCTCCAGCCGCAGCTTCAGGGGCCCCCACGGGTACTTGACGTTGGGTCGCATCTCAAAGCGACCTTCCTTCCCGAAGTAATCGCCGATCACCTGTTCCAGGGCCAGAACACAAGTGCACCAGCTGAGAGGTCACGGTCACTGTCTCCCCAGCAGGCGCAGGGCCAGGTCCCCCCGTTCACTCGACAGTGTCTGCGGACTTTGAGAGTCAGATTTACAGCCGCCCGGGTGCCCTGGAGCTGAGCGTCCCTGAGGGGGGACTGTGGCTCCTGAGGCAAGGTGGCCCGTTACACAGGGAGCAGCCATCTCCGATTCCCGGCTTTTCCCTTGCTGACCCCAGGCTGCTGTCCCCCCATCCCCCCTGAGCAGCCCCGTGGGAAGGCCAGCGCTCCTGGGGCTGGGAGGCCGGGTCTGCCCAGGCTGGGGGGTGTCAGACAGGAGCAGGCCCCACACCACTCAGCGGGCCGCACTTAGGAAAGCACTAAAGACTCTCTGAGCAGGTCCTGGCCTCACACCCCCCTGAGGCGGGGACGGCATTCTCCTGGCAGAGGAGCTACCCTGTTTACACCCCATTTTCAGGAGGAAAGCTTCTTTGACTAACCCCTCTGGCTCCCAGAAAATCACTGTTCTTTCTGCTCGGTCCCAGGGTCTCTCCGCGTCAGGTTTCAGTGACTTTCCTCGGCTCCTGGGCCCTGATCCAGAGGCACCTCCCTCCCGGGACTTCTCTCTCCTGTCACCAGCCCGCTCTGCCCACTGGCTGTCCCTTTAGAGGGGTGCAGCCGGCTCCCCAGGCTGTTCACTGACGGGCCCTGAGACCCTACAAAGCACCTCACACACTTTCACCTGCATCCCCACAGGACCCTCCCTTACGAATACTGCCAGACCCAGACCAGGCCAAGCAGCAGATTACACCAGGAATCCTTATTTATACACTTACTAGAGGACCAGCACATGAAATTCGTGCCAGGGTAGACCCTCCCAGCCTTGGCTGCCTCCGCAGCCCCTGCTGCTGGGACCCTTGCCACCCCAGCTGCCTCACAGCCCTTTGGCCCTGCCCCCTGTTCACACTGCCTTGGCCTGGCATTGCCCGAATCCACCGCCGCACACCCCCAGCTCCCCAGTTCCACAAAGCACCCCACCACCACCACCAGTGATCGCCTCCCGGCCTGTGGCTGGACCTCCCTCCGCAGGGCTATCATGGGGCGATGGCAGCCCCCCCCCCCTCCACAGACTGGTCTCATCGTGGCCACCTTGGCTGGCCTGACGTCAGTGCCATAGCGTGGTCATCTGGACAGTCGTTCTGCTATTCGGCCATTTGGTCAATTTGCATATTAACTTTTATTTCTATAGACCATCTAAAGTTCTGTGGTACTTTTCTAGGTCTCATATCATTCGGGGCTCATAATCATGACAAAGCAAGGAAGATCTGATTTCCACGTGACAGCCCAGGAAACTGAGGCAGAGAGCTCCCTCCCAGTGAGGGTCAGAGCCCCATCTTGGCATCCAAGGCACTCTTTCTGCTCCAAGATGCTGTCCAGAGACACCACCGTCTGGACATGCTAACGGTTGTCCAGTTTGTAGGCCCCTTTTCCCACCCAAACAAATTGCGGTTGTAAGGGAGGAGGAATACACTGCCGCCCTTCCCCTCTCTCCTCCACGTCCCTCCTGCATCGCAGGACTGAGCTGGGCTTGGTGGCCGCCTAGAAGGAACGACGTCCCCACTTGCAGTGAACGGGGGACTGTTTCTGGAAGTCTTCCCTGATCCCCTCCACCGACGTGAGCCCCACTTGGAAACTCAGGTGTGGGGCTCATCCTCATTCAGGGGCTGCCGTGGGGCCAGCTATTCGGACTCCGGGAGGAACACATTCCTTGGGACCCTAACCGGCAGGAGAGCGGGCCGCGGCCTCCCTGCTTACCTCCTGGGTGCCCGCCTCTGCGTCCGTCATGGCGATCACCGAGAAGTCCCCGTACCGGTCCCCGTTCGTGTCTATGGACACCTGCCCGGCGATGCCTAGGGAGGGACAGAGGAGCGCCAGGCTGGTTACTGCGAGGCCTGGGGAGCGCCCTCCGGCGCCGGAGCCTCGGCAGACGCGGGCGTTTGTGTTGGCCGCGGGAGAGACATTGTAACTCCATCTGCGTCTGCATTCCTAAATTCCTCGCATTTCTCCCTTTGAAAACGAAAAGGAAAGGAAATGAATGACCTTCCTTGAGAAATATGCGTGTGTGTGTGTTCTTCAGGAAGAGCGAGGCTAGTCCTGAGAGCAGCATGCTCACCCCAGAGCTTCCCATTAAAGTAAAGCGAAAGCCAATTGCCAGGCAGGAGACGTGGAGGTGTGGCTGGTTTCTGGCCTTGTCACGGGTTCGTGTTATCACTGGACACGCGTCATCAGAGAAACCCTATTCCACGTGCTCCGCCCCGGACCACGCTAGTGTGCAGTCCAGGGAGCACCTGGTGTGCGGGCCCGGAGCACCCAGTGTGCGGGCCGGAACCACCCAGTGTGCGGGCCGGGAGCACCCAGTGTGCAGGCCGGGAGCACCTGGTATGGGCCGGGAGCACCTGGTGTGGGCCCCGGGAGCTCCTGGTGTGTGGGCCGGGAGCACCTGGTGTGAGCCCCGGGAGCACCTGGTGTGAGCCCCGGGAGCACCTGGTGTGCGGGCCGGGAGCACCTGGCCCAGTCCTGGGAGCTGAGAGTGAAGGAGGAATTCGTCTTTCTCCCACGGTCTTCCTTCGCTCTTCGTCTCTGTCTGGGGGAGTGTCTTCTGGTTTTATCAAGAGGTAATGACACTCATCACTGCGGGAGCTGCAAGCGCCCGGCTCTGTAAAGCGTCGGCTCACATGTACTGTGAAAGGCCGGCCACTACTCACTGTCCCACAGACACAGCACGCCACTCACTGCTGCCCACGTTTTCCCGGTGACGGCCCGGGAGGCAAAGGTGGATGCGACACATTCTCCGCCCAAGAGGGGCGGCCCGAAGAGGGATTCAGCCTGAGGGACCCAGAGGGTGCACTCGGACCCCAGCTCTCATGCTTACAAGCCCCGTGACCGTGAGCAAGGCCTTTGCCTGTGAGACTCTGTCTCTAGGACTAGGAGAGAGTCCTAACAGTGCCCCCCGGCCACAGGCTGGTGACGAGGTGGAGCAGGCAAAGCCCTTTCCACGCAGGTTGAAGAGAAGTTGGCTGCTTTCCTCTGTTGTCATCGCCACCATTGCCGGGCCCGGATCTGGGAGAGGACCCCTGGCAGTGCCCGCTCGGCCCGGAGGAGGAGGCCCAGGGGAAACGCCGTGGGTGAAGCCCAGGATTGGGGCAAGCAGCCAGCAGAGAGGGCGGGGGTGTCTGAGGCAGAAAGGCTGGCCTTGTCAGCATTTACAGAGGCGCCGACGCTGGAAGGAGGCAGAGTGGCCGTGAGGTTTCTGGGAGAGGGCCCGTGAGCATGGAAGGGCTCAGAGAGAAAGGCTGGAACAGAGTGCCCGGAGTACGGAGAGCCTTGAGTGCCCACAGGAGAGACTGAATTCGCTTTGGCTAGCAATGGTGGCTTATGGCCACAATCAATCAAAGCCAATATGTCTCATTAGTTGATATTAAATGTCTATTTGTAATTTTCCTTCACTAAATAATAGAGTGCATATATCTATCAGCCCATGCAAAGTCACTAAGGCTATTTATTTTCCTTTATTTCAGACTGTGGCAGAGTTCAGTGTAATTCCTAATTGGTGTTTCCATTGATCTGGTTCCCTCCGGAAGTGAAGTGAGTGTCTGGGCAAAGGGACCCCAGGGGAAAGTTCCATCCTCAAGTGCGGTTTGGAGAGGACAAGTGTTTGGGTTTACTGTCCTCGGGTTGTGGTTTGAAGGCCTGCCGCTTTTTCCAGACTTTGGTCTACTTTGCCAGAAACAGAATGGAGTTACCATTCATCTGGATGTTTTGTCTTCTTAATATAGACTGGTTACAAAGGGTACACCCACCTCGAACTTGTTTATCCTTGACAGACTATAACTTTTAAGAACGCCATTTAAAAAAAAAAAATATATATATATATATATATATATATATATAGATAGATAGATAGATAGATATTCATCTCCAAACATATTGGTTATCAGAACCTTCCTCTATTCTTTTCGGAGGGGAGTGTGAGAGTGTGTTCTCTAAGTGTTTTTGCAGAGTGTCCTATGAGACCAGGTGGCCCCGGGATCCCAGCACCTCATTACAGTTGAAGCGATTACAATTCTGCCGAGGAAGGAGGAGAACCCTCAAGGCAGCCGATTAGCAAGTGAAGCCTCACCTGAGAGTGTGGTACCTGAGGTGAGAGGGTCAGGCCGAGACAGAACTTTCCTGTAGACATCCCCTCCTCATTCCCATGGGTCTGTAGTGGAGCTCAAGGTCAGAGCCACAGTCCTATTTACCTTGTCACTCTGACCTCTCACACAGAGAGCAATTTAGCTTCTTCCAGGCCTCGGTTGAGAGTTGGTCCTAGGTTTCTCGGTAATAAAATCTAAATGTGTCAAGTAACATCCAGAGTACTTTTCCCTTAAGAACTTAATGGTCACTTACGGTGACCATTAAAATGAAAATTGGTTTTAAATTTAGAAAGGTTAAAGTTGTTCTTAGAGGTCTTTTGGGGGCTCCCCTCAGCTGGGTCGCTGCTTCGCAAAGAGAATGGAAACTTACCTTGGCTTCCATTGCCTCTGCATTTGGAAAAGTGAGATTCTGCATCTAAGCTGTTCTAGAACGCATTTCCTATTGCCTGTGTAGACCAGGCCCTAGAATGGAAGATCAAGACGGCCTATGGGAAAATTCAGTTCATGCCCTCTGAATAAAACTGAATCCCAGCCATTCCCTTAGCAACCTCCCTCAGAAGACGGAGAACAAACGGCCACACCACATAGTGAGGAATAGCTAAGACCGGGATGTGGCCTACCAAGATTGTGTCCACACACACACACACACGTTTCTCAGTGTGTTGGGCACAACTTCTGGAAAATTTGACTCTGTCCTAATATGCCCCCTGAATGGTCCTACTTAGTTCCAGCTCCCAGCTAAGGCAGTCTAAGGTTGAGCAAGACAATCCTGGAGGCCTATTTGTTCACATCCCACAATCTGCCAAAAGTCAATCAGATGTCACTCCAGTTTTGAGTAAGATGTGGCATTCACGAAGGCCACCAAGGAGCAATGAAACCTACCACTTGTCATCATAGCTAAGGCCAGGACAATGCTAGATGGAACATGACCCCTTTGCACTGCCCCCACCCTCCTAATAACTGAGAACAGAACGAGCCAGTGGTGTGGATATGAGTCCCAACTGAAAAGAAAAAAAAAATGTGTGTGCTTCAAATCTAGGCTTGGAAGTACTTGTTCCCATCATTGAAAATGTCCTTAGTTAGATTGCAAATGCATACAGGCCTAGCCTCAATGCATTCAAGGACCCAAAGGAAGAGTTAGCATGATGCAAAACTGAAAGGACTCTTGTCAGTCATCAACCAGTCCAACCCCCAAGGCTTAGGTGATGGAGAAGTCCAAGGGACTGAGGGGGAGTCCATGTGGATGCAGGTTTTCTGTCCTGGATGGTAGTGGTTCTCACATGGTGCCCATTAGCGTACCACAGTTTATTTTCCACTCAGCCCGCACAGGAGCTCTTTATAGGCTCAAGACAGATCCTATTCTTCAAACCACTCTGGTGGCTTTCTATCTCACTCAGGGTGGAACCCAAAGCCCTTAGTGCAGCTTCCAGGTCCGAGGGATCGAGCCCCGACTCCCTCCCTGACTTTGGCTCCTGTTACACTGCCTCTCACATGCTCTGTTTTAGCCTCCTTGCCTGTCTGGGGGCACTCAGAACTGTCCCACAGATACACGCAAGGCCTCTGCATTTGCTGCTCCCTCTGCAATGTTCTCTCATGCGCATGATTTCTTTCCTTTCCTTCAGGTCTCTACTCACCTGCCACTTACCAGAGAGACCTCCCCTGATCACTCTTTTTAAATTAATAGCCCCACATGACATGTTCTAGCTCTCTGTCCTTTTATTTCATAGCCCCTGAAATGGCGTGTCTATTTGTTTATCACCGGTTAACCCCACTGCCATGGAAGCTCATATTGTTGCAGGAAATGTCTTTAGCTCATTGCTAAATCCTCAGCACCTTGAACAGGGCCTGGCACACAGAAGGTACTCAAGAACATTTGATGAGGGAATGAGTGAGTGACTATGAAGTTGATAACTGCAGGGATCGTGTTGGGTCTCGTGTTGATTTTCTCTGTGTGCTGGTGAGGCCAGAGGAAGCCAGCACTCTATACACTGTTGGCAAGAATATAGGCTAGCAGACCTTTCCAGAAGACATTTGTCAATATCTAACGACTAGGGGCCAGTGCACGAATTCGTGCATCTTGAAAGGAACTGTGGGCCGTGAGGCTATGGTGGGCACAGGGTTGGGTCTGGCCTATCATCTGAGCCCCTACCTGGCCCCCCTGCTCGCCTGCTCCACCATCCCACCATGGCAGATGCCCACCATGTTCCTCGCTCTGCTGCCTGCTGCCAACACCCACCATGTTCTGTACGCACCCCCTGGTGTTGAGCACACATCATAGCAACCAGTTGTTTAGTTGTTCCACCATTCGGTCTATTGGCATATTAGAATTTCATATCTATAAATATCCCACAACTAGAAATATCCCCTGTTAAACATACTCACAGAAATGAGTATGTCTCAAGACATGTAAGATGCATAACAGCAAAAACTATAAACAGCTGGAGTGTCCATCAACAGGAGTTGGTTAAAGAAGTTTTTGTACAGTCGTAAGGTGGAAAATGATGGAACTATCGTTGAAAAATGTGCTGAATCTGTGAGTACTCTTATGGAACATTTCTGACATGCAAGATAAAAAAGCTATGATAAGGAATGGTATTCATGGCATGACCCTTTTGTATAAATTTTTCGGATATGATATAATCCAAATGCATATCTGCTGGCAGGAGACAAAATATTTTTAAGCCGAATCACGGGGAATTGTTAATAGTGATCACAGGGCGGGGAGGAAAACTTCCACTTTTCATTTTGTGCCTTCTTGGACTGTTTACATTCTCCAGCCAAGAACAGTCTCATTCCTGTACAATTTTTAAATGTCAACAGAAGTTGCTTGAGTGATGAGAGAATGGGCCATTTTTTTTGGTTGTTGTTAAGAAAGCCACAGCTAATAGTCATCATTTTAAAAAATAAATAAATAAAAGTGAGCGCTCACCAGACCTGCTCATCATCTCGAACCACTCAGGTTTGAACAGAGAAATGTGTATCTGGGATCTTTCAGTTTAAAACTGACTACAGAACTCTTCGCAAACTGGTGGTTTGTTGTGAATGAGGCTTGCGATGAATTTGGTTTTAAGAAACATGGAGTTGTTGCCCAACAATCGGAAGCAGATAAGCCACTTGCCATTTCGGTGGGACTCTTTCAAAGCACTTACACGTGCTTTACCTCACTGAACTTTCACAGCGAGCCTGCGGGCCGGCCTGATTTGGACTTATCATCCTTCCTGCACAGCTGAGGAGAGCAAGGTCCCACGGCTGCAGGAGCGAAACAGAACCAGCAGAGAAGCAGCTCCGTGAGCTTCCCAGCGCCATCGACAGAAACAGACCCTCACCTTCGAAGGTCCTGTTCCAGGTCTGCTGGATGATCTTGCCTCCGTCCTTCTTGCTGTAGCCGGCCCGGAGCACTTCGTGCAGAGCCAGCACGTAGAGCAGGATGGCGTCGTGGAACCCTTCCACGAACATGTTCACCTGGAAGGAAACCCCGGGCGGGTGAGACCAAACGCCGAGTGACTCACGTCGAGGAATCATGCGAGCGAGTCAAAACGATTCGCAGGTTACACTCCAGGCCTGTGTCGCATCCCAGGTGCATCAGCCTTCGCCCTGGTTCCCTTCGCACAGGTGCCCTCCGCCCCCACCTTGCCCTCTGCCTCCAGCCAGCTTGGTCCTCCCTCCCCCTGGAGAGTCTCTCCACCTTCCACAGCCCCGCTGCTCTCCCCAGGCTCCGAATTTGGAAGGGAACTGAAAGAACGGCAGGGGCCCATTCACACATATTCGAATACCACTGAGTGCCTACCGGAGTGTTCAGGATGCCAAGAGGAACTGCTGTGCCCTGCCTGCCTGCCTGCCGTCACCTACATTCTCTGTTCTAGCAGCAGTGACATCTTCCTTTCTCTCTGGTTTGTGTTCTGGGTGGTTTCAGTGCATCTCAGGACCCCCAGCCCCACTCCCTGCCGAGCCCCAAGGACAGGAAGGAGAGAGGCCTGGCCCGGGAAGGAAGCCCTTGCCCCCAAGACACTCAGAGCTTCCTGGGAACTTGTGGAGTTCGCTGAAACCCCTGGAGCCTTATTCCCTTCTACAAGCAACGTTTTTTACGTCCTCATACCACCTGTAAGCCCATTGTGACATTCAACAAACATGGAATGAGCACATACGATCCTGGAACACGGTGTAGCTCACAAACCCGTACAAACGTACAGAGAAAAGCCGAGCCTTATTCCGGGAGACGGCGTCAGGACGGAAGGCCGCGCAGACCGCACCGGGCATCCCGTGGACGGAGGATCCCTGCCCGCCCCCAGTTCAAACACAAAAACATTCACGGAGCACACAGTGCAACATCCAGCTCTACTTGGCTTCCTCCCCCACAAAGGGCTGATAAAGTCCTGTTTGTGTCCCAGAAGCAAATATTTGAGATGTGACCGAGCCTGCTGCTGAGAGGCAGGTCGGAATAATCGTAGGGAGCCCAGCTTCACCGCTTCCTAGCTGTGTTTCTCCACTATCCCCCTCACTTTCTCCATCTGGAGGATGAGGGAGCTAGTCATACCTATCTTAGGGAGGGTGCCGTTGTGTTTAAACAAATCCACAGGTGTAAAAGAGTCAGTATTCACTGTTAGTGCATGTTGTTGTTGTCCAGAGATGGAGAATTATAAAGCGAGGGGTCCTGGTGAGCTTCTAATAGCTAGTAGTGGTATTAATCAACTTACTGGTATAACATATCTTACTGACTCATTTCATACTTAACAGAAACTAAGGCTCTTCCTTCATGCTTTGACACCCCAACTAGTTCTCTTCCTTCCTCAACGTCCGGTCCTTAATTCTGTCCAAGTACGATGGATGCAGCCCAAGCTGGTCAATGGCGCCGACCCCCGGGGGTGGATGGAGGATGGCAAAGAGGCTGGCTCACAGGAGAGCTCTGAATCAGCAGCTGGACCCGAAATCTAACCCTAACCCTGCCTCATTACTTCCTGTCTCTGATCTTCAGTTTCCGCATTAATGGGGTTTAGCACCTATTCATCTCATACAGCTCTTCTGGGGAATAAGTGAATGAGGGCATGTAAGACCTCTAACACAATTCCTGGGACCATGAAAGCAAAGAGCAGACAATGGCTCTTGCTCCGAGCCATCATGCTGAAGTCTCAGAGTCATTATTTTCTTAGGCAAAGCAGAATGTGTAGAAATAACAGCTAGCAGTCAAAGATAATTTTCTGCTGATTCAGCTATGCTAATTAAATTTTCCAAAGGAATATGAAATTTCCACTTAGACCATGAAGTCACTGTGGCTTGAGAAAGTACGCACACTGATGAGTTAATGAGCTTTAATAAGTGAACTCTGGCTGTGTAGCTTCGTTCTCAGGCCACCAAACATATTTTTTCAAAAGCTCTTTCTCCTCTTTGATAATTAGACGCACCCCAGCCTGCTGCAGAGGGAAGTAGCACATCGTGGAACATGGAAGACGCAAGGTGCTCAGAAAAGCTCTGGGCTGGTCCTCTCCTGACTGTGGAGACCAAAAGGGCATCGTCCCTCACCCTCAACCGTCCTGAGGGCTGTTCCCTTCATTCTCCTTGTTCCTGGGGAGCCAAGGCAACCCCATTTCAACTGTGAAGTACCTCCATCACTCTTCCTCCTCCTCTGACGCCTTCCCAAAATCCTCACCCAAAGCCATCATAACACCCACCTACTGTTGGCCACCTTAAACATTGGCCATGTCCCCAGCACCACCCTCATATGACTCTTCCCCTTCCTTCCTTCTTTTTTTAAATAGATCTTTATTGATTTCAGAAAGAGAGATAGAAACATCAATAATGAGAGAGAATCATCGGACAGCTGCCTCCTGCACATCCCACACTGGGGATTAAGCCTGCAACCCGGGCATGTGCCCTGACTGGGAATCGAACTCTGACCTCCTGATTCACTGGTCGACGCTCAACCACTGAGCCATGCCAGCTGGGCCTCCTCCTTCTTGATATGCCCTCTGTGCTGCCCCCTCCACAACCCAGGGTGGAAAGAACGATCGTCTAGCTGAGAAACATGAAACTGTTAATTTTTCTTTCCAGGCTTAACGAAAGAAGATAATAGATTGGTTCTAAACCCATGTCCAGGTCTGAAAACCCGTTCTATCCTGATTTTCAAACAGATTGAAAGTTGTACTTCCTTCCTTTTAAAGTAGCAGAGTGTCTCCCTCTGCTGCCAAAATCATCAGGAGAGCTGCTGACCCCACCGGGGTTCACTGGCACCCCAACCTGCTGCGGAGGAGTTTCACAACACCTACCTCAGCGGCCCTCCAGCCAGAAGCAAAGCCCTGGAGACCTGCTTTCCTGCAGGAGAACATTCTCACATCCACACGTGTTCTTAAGTAGGAGGAAAGCCCATTAGCACGTTATAGACGCTGCAAATCAGAAGTGCAAATTTTTTAAAAAATAAGGGAGGAAAAAAGTGCAGAGTCTTCAGTTGCCTTTGGAACAGTTTCCACTGGACCTCCAGGCTAAAAGGAAGTAGGTCATCTGGTCTGCCCACACCCCGCCTCTGTCAGAACAGCACCTGGACCTCAGAGTCCTGACGGGCAGACTGCACGACCTCTCCAGTAGTTAGCATCCTTTTAGCCAGAAAGTCCCTCCTGACTGTCATTAGCCGTAAGCCTTCATGACAGTCCTAAATGCGGCCAGCCCTGCTAGGTGTTGAACAGAGAGAACAATGCAATTCAAGAGCCCTGGGGACTTAGGGTCTCGACCAAACGGTGTCACAGCTCCACACGGACACACACAGGGTCACAGATCCACATGGACACAACCAGGGTCACAGCTCCACACGGACACACACAGGGTCACAGCTCCACACGGACACAACCAGGGTCACAGCTCTACACGGACACACACAGGTCACAGATCCACATGGACACAACCAGGGTCACAGATCCACATGGACACAACCAGGGTCACAGCTCTACATGGACACACACAGGGTCACAGATCCACAGGGACACACAGGGTCACAGCTCCACACGGACACACACAGGTCACAGCTCCACATGGACATAACCAGGGTCACAGATCCACATGGACACACACAGGTCACAGCTCCACATGGACACAACCAGGGTCACAGCTCTACATGGACACACACAGGGTCACAGATCCACAGGGACACACAGGGTCACAGCTCCACACGGACACACACAGGTCACAGCTTCATACGGACATGGACATGCAGAGGGGGTCTGCCCAAGGCAGTGGGGAAGCGGACCACCATGGGGGACAAGCCCCAGGGCGATCCCTATCGTGCTGTGTATCATTCCAACAAGATGGAAATCACGCCCCATCTCCCACTCATCCCGGGAACTGTGCCAGGACAGGGCCGCATGCTGGCATTACCTCCTCCATCATTTCACCTCGTTCTCCTGATTTTCCCCCTGGAGCTGGCCAACGGCAGGTATGCCAAATGGAAGGATGCCATCTTTGCCACTGGCCTGTCTCTCTGATTGCACTTGTCAGCCATGCCTACTTATTAGTGCGTGTTTTTCACCTCTCGTGGGGAAAGCCGAATAGAAATCTTGCTGTTTTTTTTTTGTTTTTTTTTAACTGAGCATAAAGAGTGACCATTCATGACATGGCTCCCATCAGTGACAGGAGTGGCACCCTTCTCATTTCTCCTTGGGGAGGCAAGCTCATAGAGGAATTCCTCAATGTTTGTGTTCCAAGCAAGTAAGCCAAGATACTGTCTGTCTCAGCGGTTTCGTGTGGTGATAGTGAAGAACTATCCAGGCCGCCTGGGTATCGGAGACAGCCTGCAGTGCTCTCCCAGAGCGTCCCGGCAGAAAGCTACCTAAGCCCAGCGCAAGGCGAGGCTGCCCGCAGGTCTAGCCTGTGGTACTCAATGGACTCAAGCACGTCACAGGATGGCTCTGCCTTCCTTCCCATAAACCAATGGTTCCCGAAGCAAATAAGGAAAGTGGAGAGTTGGGCAGCATATCTCAAGAGTCTTTTGTCTTTTTTAAATATATCTTTGTTGATTTCAGAGAGAAAGGAAGAGGGAGAGAGTGATAGGAACATCAGTGATGAGAGGGAATCATTGCTTGGCTGCCTCCTGAATGCCCCTCACTGGGGACTGAGCCTTCCCTGAACCACCTCACTCCACAAGCTCCCTGATGTGCCAGCCGGGCGGGAGGCCTGTGAGTGCCCCTGGGACTGCTCCTGCCTCTGCTCCAGGAAGACGGCACCCAGGGGGCTGTCACCTGTCACTCCCTGCTCCCACTGCCTCCAGCAGGCCATCTTGCTCTCTTTAATGTCCTGTACGCTGGGGGAGGAGACCACGGAGTGTGTTACAGCTGTACTTGAAGTGGGGCAGCGGTTCTGAGTGAGGGTTTGACAGAGCCCCTGTGACAAAGCTAACAGAGCATCTGCCCGTTGTCACGGCGCCACACCCTTTCTCACACTCCCCCGCTCCTGACTGGCCCACAAAGTGAGATCGCCGTACA